AATTGAGATTCTCTGGGGAAAAAATGATTGGTTTGATTTGGATTATATTAAATGTGAAGTTACTATCTGTGGAGAGCTTTCAGGGCCTGTTGAAATTTGGACCTGAAGCTCATGGAAGGGATGTAAAGATAACATTTGGGGATTACTTCCAAAGTAATGTGGAGTAGAACTAAACAAAATTTATGAGTTGTTAGTTGGAAGGTAGGGTGCGGAACAAAGGGTAGGATCAGTAAGACGCAGGGGACAGGCCACATCTTAATACAAACATCTTGTTTAACTTATACATTGGTCTCTTTGACTGCTGTCCTCTTGGTCCAGGTCACTGTCCTCTCCTCTCCAGGAAGGCTAGACTGCCTCCTGACTGCACTCTGTCATTCTTGCCTCTCTCTAGTCCAGTCTCTAGAGGGTCCAGGATGAGGCTTCCAGAGGCCAAATAGTATCATGTCAATTTAGCTCTTAAAATTCTTCAGTAGCTTCCTGTGTTTTCCAGGTTAAATTCCATATATAAAACATGACACAGCAAGTCATTCGTTCATTCATTTGTTTACTTATTTGGTGATGGAATTGACACAGGGTCTTGTACATACTAAGCACACACTCTACCACTGAATATACTCTTAGCTCTTAGACCCTTTGAGACCTCAACTCTGTTAATATAAACAATGGCTAACATATATTGCGCTCTTTCAAACATTAGTACTTATTTAAAGTACTTCACATTTGTTACCTTGTTAAAGCTTCCCACTTACTTTTTCAGTATATTCTCGTTAACAACTCTATGGAGTTGGCACTGTTATGGTCTCTATTTTAGAGATGAGAAAGACATAGGTTTCCCAGGTGCCCAGGGTCATAGAGCTAACAAGTGGAGAGCTCATAACTTTGTATGTATTATATTATGTGATCCTCACTATAATCCTATGAGGTGAGAATTATTATTACTGCCTTTTACAAATGAAGTGACTAAAGTTAGAGATGTTAGGTTGTTTGCTCAGGGGCATATAGGTTATATACAGGGAGAACTGGAATTGCCCTCCGTGTCTCTCTTGAGTGTGCCCTCCTCCATGCTAGTCTGACTGTAGTTTCATTTGTAACAACCCTTACCTCTCACCTCTGAGAACCCCACTCTTGGTGACTTCTCATTGTTTAGGGTTCAGCTGAAATAGAGCTGTAGCTGAGAAGTGTTTTCTGAGCAACCCCTGACCCTTCCTGATGTATTTGGAGGCACTGTGGCCTTCAGACCTAGTTGTTACCATTCTTTGATTTTCTTTCTCATAGTCTGTGGGCTTCAGAAAGTGGGATATTGTGTGAGTCTTACTGCCAAACCTTGGGTGACTTGCATATGTGTCACATAGTAGGAACTTAGTAGGTTCCTGAATAACTCTTTAACTAAGTGAAGAAGTTTGATGTTGATCGGCTTTCATGCTTTAGAGAGCATGATCAGTAATCATAAATTTAACTTCTCCTATTTATGTTTGTTTTGGTATTACATGACTGTTAATACCATAATCTTGTGGCTTTAGCAATTCCCTTTGGGATTATAAATATTTATATTTCTATTGTTTTTCTTAGGCTGATGTTGTTATGCTCTATCTGTGGAGTAAATGCTGATAATCAGCAGAGAATAACTATCCAGAATGTGCTGGTTTAGCTGGAGAATGCAGCCTAGGGTGTCTTGCTGTGACTAGAATATAAAGTCATTCATTCTTGTACTCCTCATTGAAAGTTGTTGCTACTTTACCAATAAGCTGGTTATTCTTGTTGGTGTCACAGGATAGGTAGTTATAGCCTGGAATTAAGAGGAAGAAATTTATAGTGTCCTGATGGCCTACTTCTCAATATTTTCTCAGGCAAATTGGTCTGACCTTTACCACCTTGGTCTGATGTTCTCAGAGGAAAAGTTTCACACTGCACAGGAACGAACAATTTAGCGGGAATATAAGTTGCAAATTATTAGTTCAGTGGTGCTTAAACATGTGCAGGTGATGGAATACCTAAAAGTCATGGTATTCTGTGGAACACTATGAAATATTTATATATTAAGCTTCAAACTACTTTCCTTACTAAATCAGATACTATTTTATATACATTCCAGAGTAGACAGTAGCAAGTGAGGAAAGGTTAAGAAAAACTTACGGTAGGAAAACTTAAAATTATATTATCTCATTTTTCATGCAAATTGGGAAAAGGTTATTTTTGGGCTTTCGTCTCACTCCCAAACCTCCAACATTTTGAGTAGCATAGTTGGAGAACCATTACCTTAACTGCATATAGAGAAGAGAATAGAGGGTTCCAGTTTGGTGGTGTTAAAGTACCATTCATAGAAATGGATGTGTCAGGAGGAGAACTGTCCTTGAGGTCAAGAATGATGAATTTGGTAAGTGTAACTAATGGTAGGCTGAGGAGAAACATTGAGCAGGCAGTTATAAGATGGGCTTAATGTCTTTTACATAGTACAGCTGTCAATACATGTTGGCTATCACTATTACCAGGAAGATTTGGAAATCATTGGCATGGGTGAGAAAAATGAATCTATAAATACTATTATTATTTTTTAGGTGGAATATAGCAAAATGAGGTTTAAGGTTTGAACCAAGGGGAAAAGTAGAGAGAGACATAGTTAAGCAGTGTAGAGAATGCTGTTGGGAGGTCAGTGGAAGTGGAAGTGCAGAAAAGGTGAATTGCTTTAACAGTGGATGATGGGTGTTCTTTCAGGAGATAATTTTGGGGTATGTTGCTTCATTTATTTATTCATCCAGAGCAGAAATCTAGGAGTTATCTTTGATACCTCTCATGTAATTTTATCCCTCCAGTCTATTGATACAGTGCTGTCAAATCTACCCTTTTATGTAGGACACAAAGAACAAATGATAAAAGAATAGTGAATTCACCTTCTCAAATGAAAATCTCCTCTTCAAAATGTGCCAGCTGAAAAGATAAGCCAGACTTCTAAAAAAATTCTTTCAATTTCCATTGGTGCCTTCAAATGAAACATACATATGTTTGTATATATGATATTTACTATATAGGTGTGACCCTTATAACTCAGTAAGACAAATCATTCAGTAAAGAAAATGGGCAAAAGATTTGAAAAGACATGTTATCAAAGAAGATACATTGGTGGCAAATAAACACAAAACTGCTCAGCATCATTAGGCATGAGGGAAATGAAAATTATAAATGTGAGAAAGGCCCTGCATTGTGAATAGAATGCCTAAAATTAAAAAGAAAGATAATATTAAGTATTGGTGAGGATGTAAAACAAGTGCTAGTACATTCTCTTACATTGCTGGTAGGCTCAGAGTTGAGCCCTGGTGTTCAAAAACAACCTGTACAGTCATTTTCCTGAGCTGTCCTCTCTACCACCTTTTCATGTCTCTAGCCCCTACCTTTTTGTTCTGCTAACCAGAATGTTGGAGCTTTTCTTCACCTGCTTCACTGTGCATTTTCATGACTGCATCAGTAGCGCAGGCCTCTCAGTGGGAAGCCAGGAAATGAAAGTAACGTTTTTTTTCTCTTCCTCTTAAGGCTGCACCTTCTCTGGAGAAAAACGGACCTTCCCTGAATGCATTGGGTGCCTGTAGAACACTGCTTCTTTCCCCCTCCTTAAGTCTGAACCGTGTGGCTTCTCTTAGAACTGACTCAATCCATGTTATGCCCACTTCAGTTTTGGAGCGGCCTTGCTGAGTTCATGCTAACTTTGAGACCGTGCTGAGTGATAATGGAAGAAAACAGTGGTAAACTTAGCACTGGTTTGGTGGTACTTTGACTTGTATCTTCTATACTAGATTCATTAACTAGCACTCCATGCATTCTGCTGTGGTTTTATAGATATATTTTATAGTTGTGGAGAGATAGGGTAGAGTGTGCCTATTATATTTTACTTGGAACCAGAACTTCTAGATTTCTTTTTATTTATCTTGCTCTGGACTGCTTGAATATGTGTGTTCTGCTCTGGAAAATGCTCAGCTATTTGCAGACTAAGGACTACGGGAAGGTGGGTACCCTGAAAGGTACACAGCATTAAAAGTAACTTTCTAAAACTAGCTTTTGGTTGTGTCCCCTTCTCTTTTGGAATATTGATTAGTCTTACACTTTCCATATCTGCTTTTTAGACTTTTATTTTTGTACTTCCTCTCTGACCACTCTTTTATGTAGTTTTTAAAAATTCACTACTTTTCTCTCTGGTTATATCTTTTCTACTTTTAAAGCTATTCATTGAGTTACATTGTTACTTTAAGAAGTGTTTTTTTTTTTGTTCTAAATTTTTGCTTGATCATGTGATAGTTTCTTATTCATTACTCAATCTCTTTTATTTCTTTAAACTCAAGTATTTATTTCTTATCCTATCTGATAATTCCAGTATCTGAAATCTTTGAAGGTCTGATTCTGCTGATCTTTATTTCTGAGCCCATTTTCATGGTCTTGCTTCTTCAAAGGTTTTTCTGATTTTTGCCCATGAGCTCACATTTCTTGGAACTTTCTGTGAGAAAATTTTTGAGGCTGAGGTTCAAATGAAATTTCTAAGAGAAGATTTACACTTTGGTTAGTGTCCTGTGGCCACTTCTAGTTTGGAAACATTTAAACTTAAATTTCTGAGTTAAGTTTTTCTCTTTTTTGGGGACAATTTAGTAGCAATCCTGCTAGGGTTATTTTGTGGTTGAACTTGCAGGAATATTTACTTTTCTTCCCAGCACCAAATTTTGAAACCAGCAGTTATTCCATTTCCTGAGATGTGTGTGTGTGTGTGTGTGTGTGTGTGTGTGTGTGTGTGTGAGTTTTCTGATCACTTTTGTAGTTACAGTTTAAATGGTAGGGAGAGGATATCTTTTACCTTCTCCACATTACCCTGACCCTTAGTTTTTTCCTAGTGTTCCTTGAGTGCTGTTAGACTGGGAGAATGAAATTTGCATTTGGACTAAGTAAATGACTAAAGGAGGAAGCTAATTTGTACGCATTGGTGTTCTGCTAGCTTCCTATCCTTACTTGGTTCTTCTGAACCTTCCTTATTTTCTTGCAGGCACGTCAGTGTATTTGAGAAGATGGGAGAATCCATTCTCTATAGTTGTTTTCAATGGAGGATCAGAAGTGTGCTGAGCCTGGTATATTGCCAGAATGGAATTTGCAGCTACAGTTTTTCCAGATTTCAGTCAGGCTGGTTTAGGTACCATTCTTCCACCACCTCTTTGCTTTGGTCAAGCTATTTCCCCTGCTTACAGTTTCTTCTCTACCCACCATATTCTGTTTGTCCCACAGTTCACTTCATATTCCTTTTTCTTCTCAGTGCCAAATTCATGATCCCTCTTTTTTTCTGTCTTTTTGAGACAGAGTCTCGCTATGCAGTTCAGGCTGTCCTTGAGCTCACTTTGTAGCCCAGGCTGGCCCCGAACTCCCAATGATCCTCCTTCCTCAGCATCCTTACTGCTGGGATTACAGGCGTGTGCCACCACACCTGGCGAAACAAATTTACAGCTCTCTGTGTTTTGAGGTGGTTTTGTTTTTGTTTTTGTTGTTTGTTTTTTTGGTACTGGGAATCAAACTCACGACCTTGCATTGCCAGGCAGATACTGTGCCGCTGAGCTATATCCCCCGCCCCATGATCCCTTTCCTGACTGCTGTAGTTCACTGGTTCTAAAACGGTTGCCATGTTTGTAGCACTAAAAGGTTTTTTTAAAAAAATACATTTTGTAGAACCACATAAAAGTGATTCTCTCCTAACAGCATAATTTTTGAAGGAAATTACATTTTTATACCAAAAAAGGCAGTAGAAACATGGGGTGAGATTGTGAATGGTTTTTACAGTTGAATTAAATATCTTTATGTGGAAAACACACTGTACAGTCTCTATTTCTTTCATTTGCTGCTGACCAGAAAGAGACTCCTTAGATTCCTTAGATAATCTGGACCTTGGCTTTAGCTTGGAATGATGTCTTCAATTTACAAGTCTACAACATTTTACTTTACTAGTTATATGGCATCTAGTCATTTATTTTCTTATGACAGGTTTCTTTTGCCTGTTTACGTTTTATAATGTTTTGTCTCCTTGCCTTGGTTGTAAACTCCTTGAGAGCCATTATCTTGTATATATTTAGAGTACTCCTAATATGTGTTGAATGAGTTAAATTTAGATGCCTCAGATGATTGTTGAAACCTAGAAATATTTATAGAGCACCCATTTGGGTATATCACAGTTCTAAATGTTGTTTATTTCTCCAGGAAAAAAATAAGTTTTAATATGAATCATGAGTCCCTTACTCATCGCTCTCCTCCCCAGGGAATTTCATTCAGTTAACAAACTTACTGAGTGCTTGTTAAAAACCAGGCCTTTTGTTGGGGCTGGGAATACAGAGATAAAGTGAACAAGCTTGCCAGTCTAGTGGGTAATATGTACATATAGGTAGAAAGCATAGCATGCCACCTGGGAAGCCTCATAATAGAGCTTTGAAACAAGTCTTGTGATAATGTGGAGAGAGCAACTGAGTTTTATAAGGGAGTAAGAGAAACCTCCAGAGGAGGAGGCATTTGTTCATTCAGCAAAATCTCTCTTAAGTGCTTAACTACTTGTCAAGCACTAGTCTAGATGCATCTTGAATGAATAGGGCATTGTTAGGAGATGGAACGCATTTTAGGCAGGGAAATTGTGAGCAAGAACATGTCCTTTCAAGTAAGACCAGATTGGGTTTGAGTTCATACACTGGCACTCTAGACACTTTTGCCTTTGGGCAAGATATTTGCTTTTTTAATGTCTACAGGACAATTACTTTTGTAAAATGTTGCAAATACTCTATACCTCAGAGTACTGTTGTGTGGATATTTTGAGGGTGAAGTGTGTAAAGTCAGGCTTAGCATGGTGAAACAGCTTGAGTGAAATAGCACAGTGAATAGTAAAATTAAGTGTAGCGCTTCTGAAATAGCTCAGGGGTAAATGTATACACAAGGCATATAGGAGGGTGAGCCCTGATGAAAAACTCAGATAACCATAATACATGTGTGTTAGTCACAGTAGTGGACAGATGAACCAGGAGGATCTGTCTCAGGCTTACTTACAAATAGTCTTGTATGTCATATTAATAACTTTTTTAAAAAAATGTTTGAAAACCCTGGGCAGTGTTATGTTTTTGTCTTAAATTTTAGGTTGTACAGTGGCATTCTGAGCTTAGCATAGTAGTTAGGAGTGTGAATCTCAGTGACCTGGGTTCTGGTCCCAGCTGCCTCATTTCCTAAGTGCCTGACTTTAGGCTACACCTTTAACCAACTGGTACCTTAGTTTCTTCATTGGTAAACTGGATTGTAACCATATCCATTGTATATGTTTGTTTTGTTTTGTATGTGTGTGTGCTCTTTGAACTTTTGTTTCTAAAGCTGTGAAACATTTTGTCAGAGTAAATCTTATTTGAAATTCAGATATAGAGAACAATAAAAGGAGGTCTGTTTGAGAGACCACTTTCATTTCCCTTCTGTGCTACCCCATGGTAAATAGCACTGCCCTAAAGCTGGTGACAAAGTCTTTCATATATGTCATTTGTTGAATTGATGTTCAAGACAAAGGACTTTGGGGGCTGGGGATTTAACTCAGCGGCACAGCGCCTGCCTGGCAAACGCAAGGTTGTGAGTTCGATTCCTGGTACTGGAAGAAAAACAACAAAAAAAACCAAAGAAACAAAAACAAAAACAAAAGAAACAAAAGACAAAGAACTTTTATCAGTTGGGAACTTGGGAAATTAGCATTTGTAATGATCTAAATCTATGTTTTGATGCAGAAATCCTGAACCTTCATAATAATACCTAAAATATAACTTAGTATTTTGCAAATAGGGGTAAAGAGAATGATGTCATTGTAAGTGACACATAGATGTCAGAACTGGAGAGATCTTTCTTAGTGCTCTGTGTAGAGATGAGGAAATTGATTTCTAGAGAGGGAGGTCTTTTAGGGTCATGGCGTAGACAGCGCCTGCTCACATTTCAGACCTCCTTGCCCACTATTGTCTCTTCTTTTTTGCTCAAAGCCACACAGCCAGTTCTGTGCCAGAACCAGGGCAGGCAAGCAGACAGTTTTCACCATTCTAGGACTGTGCTCTTTCAACTACACCTTTTTGCTATTTTACAGTGTGGCGTTTTGGCTTTCCTTTTGACTCTGCTCTGAGGGGTTACTTGGTGAGTTGATAGATTCTTTTTTTGTTCTCTTGAAGGTCTCTGTGAGCGTCTGAGGGCCTGGACTGGACTGAACTTCTCTTATTCTAAAAAAGCTTTTCACATTCTTATAGGTTTTAATAGCTGTGATTAATTAAGTACCATCTATCAGTAAAATGTAGAGCAGGGGATCTACATGAAATGTATAGATGTTTCAGGTTAAAAGTGGGTGGTTTATAATTTACCTGGGTAGGTAAGCAGACCTACTATAGCTGAACTTTCCATGTTTTCCTGTTCATGAATAATCTTGGGTTAACAAACGAGACAGCAGTTACTCAAGTGGGCATCCGTGACAAGTCTCTGAGAGGCTAGCCCTGATCTCTCGGCAGTGAGGCTGCAGGTCACTTGGGCACCTCACAACCGCTGGGCTCTTCTGTTCTCTCAGGAGCGTGGTGTTGGCTTTCCTGTCTCCCTCCTTTCTCTCAATTGCTCTTCCTACTTGCACATGGCCTAACATGGGTCCCTTGTCAGTTAAAAGTATTGCTACTTAAATGACTCCCAAACCTGCCTTGTTACATGTCAGAATCTGGGCAGAGGGATGACTAACTTTGTCTAGGCCCCACCCAGATCTTCTGAGTCAGAATCCCTGGGACCTGGCAATCTCTTACTTCAAAAAAATGTCTTAGGTAATGCTGATGAAAGAGCTCAGAGACATATACTTCAGAACAGGCCCATAATCGGCTTGAGCTCCATGACACAGTTCTGGATTTTTTTTTTTTTTACAGTTCTGGATTCTTGAAGAAGAGAAAAATCTGATTCATTTGGCTTGTCAGATGTCTACTCGTGATTTTTTTTTTTTTGGTACTGGGAATTGAACTCAGGACCTTGCACTTGCCAGGCAGGCACTTACGCCACTGAGCTATATCCCCGGCCCTCTACTCCTGATATTTTTTTAAGTAATTAAGTTTTTTTTTTAATGATGGATGAATTTATAGCAATTCTCTCTCTCTCTTTTTTTTTTTTGAGACAGGGTCTTGCTATGCGGTTCAGGTTGGCCTTGAGCTCACTTTGTAGTCCAGGCTGGTCTCGAACTCGAAACAATCCCCTTGCCTCAGCCTCCCAAGTGCTGGGATTACAGGCGTGTGCCACCATGCCTGGCTTTTAGTAATTGTCAATCTATGTTCCTGCAGGTGTTCCAAGAGTTGTCAAAATTGAATAATGTTGGATAGTTTGCTCCAAGTCACAGAAAAAATAAGATTTAAGATAAAATAGCTCAACTTTAGTCAATTTTTGTTGAACAGAAATTCTTAATTTTGACACAGTATACCAATTTTTCATATGATGGCATATGCTTTTGAAGTCTTGTATCCTTGGCAATCCAAGTTGATGGTTTAGGTTTGGACACCATAGGGAAGGAGTACAAGAAACTCCTAGGAGATTAGATGGAAATAGAAGTAATTGCAGACAAATGAAGGAAAATAGAATAACCTCAATTTTAATTCCAGAGTCTCCGTAGGCGGTCATGTTGTCTGTAAATAGAGATAATTTTTTTGTTTTTTTGGTTTTTTGAAACAGGGTCTTGCTATGAGTTGAGGCTGGCCTTGCACTCACTATGTAGCTTAGGCTGGCCTCAAGCTCAGCAATCCTCCTGCCTCAGCATCCTGAGTGCTGGGCTTGCAGGTGTGAGCCACTATGCCTGGCTAATAAAGACGGTTTTATTTCTTCCTTTTTAATCCATTTGCTTTTTTTTTTTTTTTTTCCCCTTTCATCACCTTCCTCCTTAGAGGAGTGTTTATTTTCCTTGTTCTATTCCCAATCTTAGAGGGAATGTATTCAGTCTTTTACCAGTAAGGACATATGATAACTGTAAGCTGTTTTATGGATGTCCACTATCAACTTGAGGACAGTCCTCCTTATTTTTGGTTTTCTGCATTTTTTTCATGAATGTGTATGGAATTTGGCGGATACTTTTTCTGTATTAGTTCAAGTTACTGATTTTTCTTCTTTAGTCCTTTAATACAGTAAATTATATTG